TTTTTTGTTAAAATTGATTAATATTTAGTATTTTTAATTTAGGAAAGAAATAGTTTGTTTATAATTGATCACAGTTTATATAATGTGACCAAGTTGGTTGAACAGCATAGGTTGCACAATACAATATAATAGTGTAATCAATTTTATTATGAAGTTGGTGTAGGTTAAGTTTAACATTACTAGGTTAGATCGCTTGTTGAGGTTAAACGTATTTTGTTTAATTGAATAAAATATCACTTTTATTGTCAATATGTCCACTATTATGAACACAGTTTGGAAAATAAATATAAAATAGATGATACCAAGCTGCTTTGAACTATTAATTTGAACTTATTAATAGTAAAATAGTCTATTGAATTACTATAATTTTCCATGATAATTATGTAACGCTAAATAATAACAGTTATAAAATAAACTTTATTTAAAATCCCATATAAATACAATAATATTATTGTTGTGTAATTGATATCCAGTTATTATTTATGTTTTTAAAATTTTGCAAACTCATTTACTTCTTAAAATATTATAGAAACTTAATTTAATAATTATATTATTTTTAAAAATTTAACAAAAATTAAATAATATCTATAATAGCTATAATATAGTCGATATAAAAATTATTTACAGTTCTTCGTAACAAATTAAATTTATATTGACAAGGATAAATGAGGTAGAAAATATATAAACATTTTTTAAAAAATTTGAGATCGTATAAAAAATTTCTCGTTTAAATATTATTTTTATAGAGAATAATTATTTAGATAAATAATTTTAAAATTATAATTATAATTATTATATTTTTATTATAATTATTATTATAATTAAGTTTATTAGTACTAATTATTGAAACACCTATATATAAATAAATCCGTATTTACTAATGAATAAACAAATACAGTAATTAGTTGTAAAGTAAATCTGTTTAAACAAATCTATACTTTTTGTAAACATTTATACAAAAATATTTTTCATTTATTGCACATTTTATACTAACAAGTAAATTGTTATAACTTATCATAATATAATATTCATAAAAATGTTATTAATTGTAATATTTATTATATTTACGGCATATATTGATGCAAAATGTCCCGAACCTAGGACAATTCAACCTTGCTTATGTGAGATTGATCGACAAATTACTGGCGACACCCAATACAACATACATTGCGGTGGCAATAATGACCTGGATCTAAAAGTTATATTCAGTAACATAAGCTACGAATTAGCCGCCAATGAAACAAATTACGATTATCTGTATCTGAATAACACACGGATTACTGGGTTAACAGATAATGTATTTTCTGGCGTCACCTTCAGGTATATAATCATCAAAAACGCCCTAAACTTCCGTCAAATACACGGCAATGCCTTCAATGGTACGGCTAATAACGTACAGAGTTTACGTATAATAAACACCCCGGTCATCAATAACATGTCATCGCCACATGATTTTGATGTATTTAAAGCGATAAATAGCTTGAATCTAAATCTGAACCACTTGGAGCTAACAAACACCCAGATCACTTATATACCGCAAAACCCGTTTGGCCCAATGGACAGTCTAATAGCTATTACTCTTGACCATGGTCAATTTGATGCGATTAATAGGAATGCTTGGTGGGAATTGACCGCGTTGCAAATGTTGACATTAGCAAATAATAACCTGGATAATATTTTCAACACTTTTTTCGAGTTTAATAATCGCTCGACCGATAGACCCGTTTATATAAGTCTGGAAAATAATACAAACTTTGAAAATATAATACAGAGTGAAGGACATGGATATACCCGCAGACCAGTCATACTAGTGCTAAAAGGGTCCGAATTTTCGCATTTAAATGAATCTAATTATTCATGGTTTTTGCGCCAAAATCCGATGATTTCTATAGAGTTATCAACACTTGATTGTATGGACTGTTCAAACAAATGGCTATTGAATAGTGAGTTTGCGAAACAAGTCCAACGAATTACTTGTAATTCAACCGATAATAATGTTTATATAATTAACAGCACAATGTTTCACAATTGTAAACTAGGCAATAATAGTGGCTTGATGATTGATGCAAACTTATTGTTTTATTGTATAATGCTTGTTATTGTTTATATTATTTGATTAATAAAATTTTAAGTTTGTCAATCAATAATTTGTGTATTCAATTTATTTAATAATTATTTCGCATATTCCTTATTATTTTGTAACTGTGTGTGGGTGAGATTTAAAAATATAAAACTTTTGTTTCTCAAATTTAATGAACCTTGCGGTTAATAGATAGTTAGATATCATATTCATGTTATTTGCAATTCAATGAGAATTGAATGAAAATCTTTCGTTGGATACGAGTATTCGAGAAACACTTATGAAAACTGTTAGACATTGCTTATATAAATAGCAAATGTGTTGATTATATTTTGAGTTACATTTTGTAATTTGTTAACTTTTAAAATAATATCTCATTAAATTTTTTATAAAAGTCCTTTGTAATTATTTCAGTGCACTTGTATGAATAACAAACATATTTGTTTTGTGCTTAATTTTGCATTACACATTAACATAGGTATAAATTTAACATTACTACAGTAGTTGAATAAGAATACAATAGTCTTAAGATATTATCGTTAGGCAATAATTTTTATTATGATCAAGGTCATTAATATGGGTGATAAACAATTAAATATTGCGCATACACTCTATAATATTTCTACCTAACATGCACTCAACCTGTTTATGAACAATTTTAAATATAAAAGTTAATAATCAAAAATTAAATAATATTAATAAATATTATTTTAATTATTTTAATTATTAGTCATTAGTAAACACAATGAAATTATATTTTCATGTTTCTCATCAGGATGGTATAATTAAACCGTTGTTTTAATAGTATTTATTTCATTGCTGTAATAAGTGGGTAATTTTTTGGGTGCAGGTAAACTAATAAAATTCAAATCGTGCGCAAACTCAATAACAAATATAAACTCAACAAGCACCCAAAGACATTAAAAATTACTTTTTCGGGAAAATAATTTCATAAATCTTACTACACTATACATGAACTATAATTTAAATTTTAAATGCTTACATAGGTGAGGTCATTTGCATTTAAAAGCTTATATAAATAAAGCGCTTGCCACTATAAAAATTTAAAATCATTTCTAAATCTTTAGTTATTTTTTAAATTTATTTTTAGTGTTACTAAAACTATACAAAAACTATTAAAATGAATGTTTTATTACTATTAGCCCTACTTTTTGTTGCTGTAAACGCCGACTATAGTATCGATGATTATAACCAAGTTCAAAACTCAAGAAATTTTACTGACAAGGTAGTGTTGGTGACAGGATCCAGTTCCGGTATAGGGGAGGGTATTGTCAAACTTTTCTCAATATTGGGCGCCAAAGTGGTGGTTACCGGACGGACACCGGAAAAGGTTAAGCGTGTGGCCAAAGTGTGTAAAAGATTATCGCCTTATAAATTAAAGGTAAGTCTCTCACTCACTCACTTGCTAGATCATTTGTTTTGTATGTTCCTTTGTGATATTATAATTTATGAACTATAAGATTATTTTGAGGAATTTATTTATTATATAAAAATATAAATACTTATTAAGTTTGGTGTTAAAATGAGCCAAGTTTTTACTATTTATAATATGTTAACTAATTTTTATGACATCCATTTCCCTGTCAGCCCCTCGAAGTGGTCGCAGATCTGACCAAAAGTGATGACTTGAATCGTGTGATCGCAGAGACGGTGAAGACTTTCGGAAGACTCGATGTTTTGGTGAATAACGCAGGGATTCGGTCACAACTGACCACTATTTT